GGGTGGGCGGACGAGTCGCAGAGCGTATTGTACGATGCGCGATAGTACATTCTACTGTATTTAATGTGGCGCTGACGCGCACAGTACACTGCAACTCGTCCGCTGACCCGTCTACGTATCTGCCTTCTCGCCGTACCACGAGCCTCTTGTCGGGCACCCACTGCTCATGACAGCAACGTCGCATGCTATCCTTTCCTGGATGTGTGTTCCAGAGTATCATCGCGCAGCATGCGATGCGAGTCAAGCCGCTCCGTCAGTGTCGGCTTGCAAGGGTCCCGGCAAAAGGGGAGGATAGCGTTGCTCTTGGAATTGTATTAATCGGTCAAGCTGTGCCATTCGGATGCACGTTTTGTTCACGTTTTGCGGAATGAGCTTCTCAATGTTTTAAACACGGAAATCGGCTACTTCAGGGAAGGACTGCAGGATAGCCGAGCCGCTTATCAAGGAAAATCCCGCTGATCAACTACTGCTGGCTTTCCGCCGCTGTGTCGGTGAACAGCCTGACCGATCTATGACACCTCGCCCTTCCAGCTTGATCCCAACCGTACACTTGTAAACGTGTATTACGATGAATGTGAGCGTCTGAGGAGAGTGTACCTAGTATACATTCAGCGGCACGGCAACTACCCGTGACATGGATATCTCGATGTTCAAAGGCGTCAACTGATGCTTCGTCCATTTCTAGTTCAGTGCGATTACTTATCGTCTTGAACACGTCTCTAAAAGAGTAAAGTTTTGGTAGGTTTCAAGGAAATGAGCAAAAGAATGCCAACCTTATTTCTTTCTCCATGACTCCTTCCTCCATTAACACATATCGAATCCATGTCCACAAATTGGCTGCCATCAAATGCATGGTACCGAATCGTGCTGCGGTGTGGTGCCCAGTGATAGACAGCTTCAAAGCAGAAAGTTAGGCGTAGAAAATCTCTCAATCATTTGTTACACCTGCTTTTGCGCGAATGAGTAAATCACATTTTCGCTTTCTAAAGAGATAAGATGGCCTCGTGGTTGAAGAGGGGTAGCACTTCCATGGCAAACCATTCTGACCGAATGCTCCATTCGACTAGTACTTGATAAGAGAGGATAGAAACACTCTCTTGAGGATCAGCATCGTTAAGGGCACAATCCAAGGCCAGTCAATGAAGTGAAGTCTTACGTGAGCAAGGTAGAGGGAATGACGACCGTATGGGTCGTCCCTAACTCAAGCCCCGAAATTACCAGGCAACGGCGTCAAGGTGTCATATATCATGCTAGGTTTCAAGCACCTAAGGATCCGCAAGAGAATTAACGTTGTAGAGCAAATCCGCTTGCTCCTATCCATACTCTTCCCTAACCGATTCTATTCTCTCTCTGTGGTACTCAGTATGCTTCACCTGTCTCTCTCATGATTGAACTCTCCTCGCCCCAAACCTTTGCAGAGTTTTCGACATTTTCGTTTTCTTTCCTCTCACTATTGATTCACTTTGCGTCTTTACCTTCATTCACTATCGAAATAACCGTACCAGCTCGAATCTGGGGTGTTTATTCAAGTCCCTTTAATAAACGCGTTGGAGCTACAATTCTAAGCACACTTTGATGCATGCACCGCTGCACAATTATCAGAGCGGCCTTCCATCCCTACCGATTCTCTATCATCTCCTCTGCTCTACAACTTTTTTCCACCTTTTTTACCCCCCACAAGCGAGACTCTGACTAATTTTAGTTTTCATTTAAGCAAGCAATAAAAGTGAAAATTAGAAAATCAACACTTTTCGTTGCCACTCTTGTGTCAAAGAGCAGATGTCATTCTGGACACTCTTATGAGCCTATACGTTTTACTATTTGAGCTCGTAGAAAACAGACCAGTTTTTTTTAGCTTCTCAAGAGCTCACGATAGACTCGAAACTAAACAAAGCTGACCTTTGAATTACAGAAAATGAAGTGCATCTGTGTGAATATAAAAACGATAGCGCACACATCCAAAGCAGTCGACCAACGGGAGCAGTTCACATCGGAACTGCACAGGAACACAAGAAATGCGTAATAAACGACACCGGTCACGCCGAACACTGCAGAATAATTATTTCAGAATTTTTACAAAAATAAATACAAGAAATGATTGCGGGTTGAGTGCACTCACCCACACATCCCAATCTAAGAAAGAGACTGCCAGCTGATGATCCGGAATGCGTGACTTTTCTCACGGTGGCTGCAGCGGACGAAATTGAAGATTCACTCAATTTCGAGTGGTTGAAACAACATCTCTGTAAATGAAACAGCAATTGCAAAATTTGGAGATCCCAAAGGTAATTTCTGTTTCCGCGTTTTATTACGTTCATTTGCTTCAGTGAAAATAATCTGCATTGGTGTTTGTAGCAATAGTCAGATGTCCGTCAGACTCGGCGATTGTGAGAGCGACGCACAAGCGATGGGCGATGGCGACCGCCCGTCGCTCCTCCGTCGCACGATTGGCAAGCGATTGCACAATCGCTTGCAAAGTGCACAAGCGACGGGCGATTGGCCCCGCCCCCGATCGATGCAGCCGGCCGCGGTATCGATCGCGGGCAGAGCCAATCGCGACGGGCGTCGCTTGTCCGTCGCTCTCGCAATCGCCGAGTCTGACGGACATCTCAGGAGCAGCGGCACAGT